TGCTTGGTACTCTTTTTTAGGGTCTACTAGATGGAACAACTGAGATTACATTAACAATAAAATGTTTTTTCCCTATATGAAGTTAATTTAAACTAAACAGTGAATATTAAAGATCAGCGATAAATCAGAGTAAACAGCAGTGGTATAGGATTCATTATGAGTAAAAATGGAGCAAAATATTTAAAATATTACACTTGAAAGTAAAAGAACATGTTACGGGCCAACAAGACAAGTGTCTTCTTTAGTATGGCTTTTGTTTCTTTGACAGCTTGCTGCCCTCATTAAAGGATGATACTAGCAATATTCTATATTTTTGTGATTCTCAAAGAATTCCAAGAAAAGATCAAAACCAACCATGCGTTAGTACATCTCTTGGATTGGGTATCGAGAACCGGTTCCAAGTTTGAAAGGTTACCATATTTCCAAGAACCGTGGATTTGTTAACGTGCATTTTGATTCAGCTTATCAGTTCCTAGCTTTTTGCATATTTCTCCTTGCACTTTAGCCATGAAGAGGAAGATGAGCAAGGAGAAAGTAGATGAATGTCACAGAGCGGTGACAAGATTTGTGGTGAAGATGTTGGAATCGGAACTATGATTTGATAAGAACCACATTTGATAAGTAGAATCAGAATTGGAATCGATTAAATTGAAACGATACGCAACCCAAACCATCATCTCTCAATACCTTTAGACTTCTGCACCCTCTCTGTGGTACCCAGAAGCACATTTGTTCCACATGAAGACGCAAATCTTTAAAATGGGTCACAGTATAGTTTCAATTATTAAAATTAATTTCCAAAAAGGAAGAGCAGCTGTAGTTTTCAGCAAACATTACTTAAACAGGAGTAAGTAGTTTGTTGGCAACTACTATCAGCTGTGGGAGTAGCAGGACAGTGTATGTTGACAAAATAAACTACAGTGCCCATGTTCGTGGTAATGAAGGAACATGGTGTGGCTCCTCAATGTGTTTTTAATAGTTTATGAGAGCAGAGGAGATGTATGTTAAAAAGAAATAGGTTTTATCACTGTGACTCTGCTCTTGTAAGGAAGTTTTGCGGTCTGTGCAGTCTGTGAAGTTCACACATTATCAGGGCACAGAATGTTTGGAGTGGTGACTTAATTTACAATCTGAATAAGTTAAAGTTAACTGAGCTCAGTGTGTTTTTATATCCACACTGGCAATCACAGCATTATTATGTTCATAAATAAAGCTGGAGTAGTGATTAAGTGGCTGATTATCTTATTTGCATAGTTTCAATGTGATAAGTGGTTGAACATATGATACCAGAGAAAATTATCATGCAGTCTTTAACTATTAAATGTTTTCTGTTGTCCAGTACATTGATGTAGGACAAAGTCTGATGAGATGAATGGCTCTGATTACCTGATGTGTATAAGGGAACATGAGGATCATAAGTTTCTTCAATACATATCTGGTATCGACAGCAAAGAAGTATTTCAGCTTGTTCACAGACATGAATCTGCTTATCTGAAAGACAAAGGAAGTACAAATATTGACTTAACAGATGAGAAGTAATAGTCTGCCAAAGTTAATAATTTGTATATATATATATATATATATATATATATCTCATGTACAGTAGAAGTCGCTAAGTCGCTTTTTAGGTTGTGCTCTGTTAACATGTACATTAGACATACAAACAAGTGGAGATATAATTAAAACATATAAATCCAAGATGTACAATTTAAGGGAAATAATTGCATACTATTATAATGATGTTCCATAACATTGCTAAATTAGATCAGTGACACCAGGGTGTTTAACTTGAGTTTGGTCTTCAGTTTCTTCCATAAATATGGAGCAAAAGCTGAAAGCAGTCCTACTCAACTCTGTGGAGTGCGTAAAGAAATCCACGTCTGTGATCTTGTGTTTATATTTATTACTCTAGAGGAAATTAGGGGTGATATGTGGAATGGTAATTTTAAAAGAAGTGCTTTATAAATAAATAAAAGAGCTTGTTGCTCACACCTCAGAGAGAGGTCAATTACACAGTTGATATAAAATATAGTAATGTGTTCTATAACTATCACCAGTCATAGGCCTGAGTGCACTATGGTAAATAGCATCCAGTGGTTTTAATGTGGTATCTGAACCATGCATGTAGATAATATCCCCAAAGTCCAACAAAAGCACCCTTTTCCACGGAGTATACCAGCTTCGACTCTGTTCGCCTTCTTGGATTTTTTTGCAATGGAAAACAGAGGACGGGAGGAACCATTTGAATATACTGCTTTTCCTCACCTCTTTGTTTACCATATCCTTTCCTTGGTTGGCTAATGAGGAGCCGTACATTACTGCAACGTTGGCCATTGGATCAGTAAACAGGTTGTCTACCCCAGCCCCTCCTTGCAGGTCATTTGAGGGACCTCCTATATTGTACCCAGGAGTGTAGAATCCTTGACTGTTCATTGCCGGTGCTGCAGAGCTGGTGTCTTCAAACAAGACAGACGCTGCTGTTGGGGGAGCTGCACGAGCTCTCGGTTTACCTGTGGAAAGGATGGACACAACGGAGAAAATGGAGGACATTTTATTTTATATTTAAAAAAATGGACTTGGATAATATTTCATGGATTTCCTACAGTATTATCCACAATATCAAATAGAATCATACACTGATCTCCCCCCTAATTGGTTAATATGTTAATCCTTTTTTGCTGAACTTTTGTAGGTTTTGCTAATTTCACCAAAAATGTGCCTATGTCCACTATTAAAGTCAATGTATGAGTGCCAGTCCTCCAAGGTTTACACTCAGTTGCCAGTTTATTAGATGCCCTTAAATAAAACTTAATCACTGTTATAAAAAGTAATGCAACAACTCATACCTTCATAAAGAATCCAATTTTCAGTTCAAAATATTTTGGAGATTATGAAGGCTTTAGTGACAGGTGTTTCGAATATTTTGTCCACCCCATGTATATCAATTAGGGTAGACATTATAAAACTCATGCAGATAAGATTAATTCAAGTGCTGATATATTAGACTGCATTAGTTCATATAGGTGTACCTAACAATTTGGGATCTTTTATCGTAACGTTATAGCAGCAGTCATGTGACAGCACCAGCTGAGTTCTGTGCGTCTTGCTTAAGTAAGAAAATAGGAAGTAACGTTACAATCTGGGTGGATATATATTACAAACTGATGGTAACACGGTGATTCATGTTTCCAGTTAACGTTAACTTACTTGCTCGGTACCCATGATGTGGCAAGTCCATTGTGATGTTCGCTTAAAATAAAAACAATGACACGTTAGCTACATTTCAGCTTATTTATCATTTCATTTCGGTCAGCAACGCTAATAAAGCACTGTGATGTCATGCCACAGATGACAGTGGTAGCATTAAATGATGATATCGGTAAGAGGTCAGCTTGCACCTTTGTGCTATTACATGCTAGCTACCCAGCTAACCCACTACACGTATAAACTTATTTAACGGTAACCACTGTTAATGTTATAGCCAGCTACCTAGCCCCGGCGAGCTAACTTACGTTGATAACATCATATTTTCAACTAATACTCGGTAAAACTGCACAGGTGATACACATATATTCAACAGTAGCAGCTCAAATGTCCACACAACTTGTCTAACTGATAATGTTATGGTTATGAAGTAAATAAGGCGCATAACAGCACTTACCTACACAGCTAACGTTGTTAGCTAGCTACGTGGCTACCAGACTGTTCGGGCTGATCCCACCCATCAACTGCTGGTTGGTTGACTCCAGTGTGCCTGCGTGGCAGAAAACACTGTATGGACAAAACATTAAAGTACACAACTGAGAGTTTATGCTAGGACTTCCATGTGTGAATCTTCCTGTTTCCTTTCCCAGCTTAACTGTTTGTGGGGGATGGCAGGAAAGGTTAGTTTTCAACTTTAGGGAGCCACAAACTAGCATCTTTGAGCAGAAACAAAACAACAGCAGATATAACGTTACTGTAGTAGCATACATAATACACAATGTCCCTAATTTTATCAGAAACATTGAAACGAAATGCACAGTTTTATTATTAAATATGCAAATACACTGTGAGGTGTGTTTAGGAGTTAAGGGATAAACAATATTTACTCTATATTTATATTTACTATAAACAGTGTGCGGGGGGTGAAGTCCGATTCTCGTCATGATCCATGATTATAGAGCATTATAGAGATTAATCTCAATAAAGGATGCTGTCAGTGTTTTAGAGACCACCCAAAATATCACAAATCATGCTTTTAGGGGAGCTGATGTCTTATTAAGGGCAGCTTAAGCTCCCCCTGGCTCCCCCCATAGTTCGCACCCTGACTATAAGAGCAGAATACCCCTCACTTTGAAGAAAAGGCCTATGGTTTAGCATTTTAAACGTGATAGAATTATAAATTAGAGGCCAATGTATTGCTAGACCACCTTCATCATCCTTAAATGTTTTATATGTATGGCTAATTAACAGTACAAATCCTAAATTTGCCTTTACAGTCAATAAACAACACCCTCCATCCAATCATGTACATCTACTAATGTAGGCTACTCTACTCCCTCTACATGTATTTTCATTTTATAGTTTTTCCTCAAATGCTAAAACACATTTCACAAAACGTTTTGTCCATGTTCTCCAATGTCTAAACACAACACCCTTTTCTAAAGCTACATAAACACAACCACACCTTCTCCCTTCAAAACTCGAACTTTCACACCAAAAGAGCAGCTCGAAGCTTTCAAAAATGTAAACACTATACACATCATTACACACTACAGCAAAACAATTGAAAACACAATGCTCAATTTGTGAGAAGGTTCTTTGTTTCATAACTGCCAATGCATATTTTTAGAAACTTTACAATAATGGATCTTCTTAGATCTCTGCAGAGGATTGGGCATTTAGATTTGTGAGTTTCATATGAAGAGTATAAATCTATAGTAAATTCTGTACACTACTGTAACAACTCAATGCAAAAACAGAATCTATTGCACACAACAGTACTCTTGAAAACATGATCAGGGTGTGAAGTTTTTTTAATTTATTTTATTTACACCACAATCACTGTGCGGCATCATGTCGCTGAGCTGCATCAGTTCACATTATCGGCAATGACTTTGTCTCTCATCTCCCGGAGTCTGATGAGGTTGTTCTCACGAACCATATCCACAATGAGGGTTTCTTGTGCCGCTGTAAATATGGCAACCCTCCCACCTCTATGTGGCATTCTTTCAACTCTAAAGAAAGAAACGTGTTGTCAATTGACATGTTTTACAATACAGTAACAACTGATTTGAAACTAATAGACTACTTTCACAGGCTTGTAAAATTGTATTGTGACAAAGAAAGCAATAGAGTACAATACCTGTTGTGTTGTGTGAATGCCCTGATAATGGTGGCCACGGTGAACCTACTCAGGTTTGGACGGACTCTTAGTCCTGCTTCAGCCATTGTCATGCCATGGACAATGACATGGTCAATGACTGTTGCTCGCATCTCGTCCGTAATGATGGTGCGAGGTTGTCTTGCTCTCCCTCCTGGACCTTCTCCTCTCCCTTGTTGGCCTCCTCCTCTTCTTCCTTGGCCTCCTCCTCTTCTTCCCTGGCCTGCTCCTCTTCCTCCCTGGCCTGCTCCTCTTCCTCCCTGGCCTGCTCTTTTCCCTCCTCTGACTCAATTACCTCTTCCCCTGACTCTGCCTTCATCCATTGTGTTTGTTTGAAATCTTCAGCAAACTGTGCACTCTGAACTTGCTTTTATACATGTGGTCACAGCATTAGCAACAGGTGTTTTCAATTTTGAATCATTGTGTGTAATGAATGACGCCAGGTGTGTTCATTTTGTTCAAATATTGCTGACTGTGGCAAGCATTTTGCATCACATGAGCTTTCATTTGAGAATATGAGCAGAGTTCTTTTGCAACTTGTGTTTTAGCAAGGAAAAATGTGTTAAGATTTATGTGAACGGAGGATTGTGTTTTGTGAATTGTGTCTTCATGTGAAATGTGTTTATGATATTGGAAAATGATGGCTAGATTTAGTAAATGTGTTTAGACAACTGGTCATTTGGTTTAGAGGATTGGCTTTTGTGTTTTAGCATTTGAGAAAAACTGTAATAACTTTAAACTTACACTCCACTACTACATTTTATGGAAATATTGTACTTTTTACTCAGGTCTATTTATCCCATGTCACTGAAGTTCCCACATACTTTGTAGATTAAGATTTATATATAAAAACATATGATGAGTTCATAAAATGTTAAACTACTAAAGTCTATAATGCAGTTAAATTGAGCTTCATCTGGACCAGCTGCATGCTGCTACTTTCACTTTTGCTACTTGCTTACTTACTTGCTACTCTCTTGTATGAACCTTGTGGGTTTTTTTTGTTTATGCTTGATATTATGCACAGCACTTTGTAACCTGTGTTAAAAGGTGCTATACAAATAAAATGCTACTTACTTTAAATACTTACCTTAAAAGTTTTACTTAAAAAAATATGAATATAACATTGAATTCAGAGGTTTTACTTGGACTACTATATTGATCTATTGATACTTTATGGATACTTTTACCATCCCTACTGTAATGGACAATGTTTCAGAATGAGTACTTTTACTTCAAATACTTTCATACTTTAAACATTTCAGTGCCAAGCTGACAAGAAATTATATATTATAAAACATTCCCCACACTATTTACAGTAAGAACATTTTGAACATATTTGGATTATTGTCAAATTTTGTATTATTAATTTTTTATTTAATTGTGGACATAATTTTTTGATATTATGACTAATAGACATGACATGCATACTGTATGCCAGCATTACTTCAACAAACCATGACCTGGACAATCAGAACTGTCTTGGTAATGACATGTTCAAATCTTCACTGTACAATCACAGTAAGATAATCTAGGTCTTACCACGGTGCCAAAGCATGAATTGACACCCACTAAACCAAATAAATCTAAGTGTATGTGGCATGAAAGATGCAGTTATGCTGTGAAGTACATGTCTGCGTGGGACGGGTTTGTCTGTGGGTGTCGATGAGTTATATGAATGAATGTGGAGATTTTTACGGTGAGTAAATTGTAATGGAATCTAAACTTCCTTCTCTGACCTTTGTAGAGAAAATGTGGAGTAAAACAGAAAACAAGAACTTACTCGCACACACACACACACACACACACACACACACACACACACACATATATATATATATATGTACACACACACACATAAGTATATACATGTACGTAAAAACAAATGGGCATGTCTGTTGAGTAGAACTTTCCCGATCAAATAAAAGATACAAGAAACAGCCAGTGGATGTTGAGCTGTCCAACATGTTGTGACATGTTACAATAAGAGACATAGCAAGTGTGTCATCGTTGCATTCCTGAGTTTTTAGTCATCTGAGGTCCACCTTTACCCCGTATTCCCTTCATATAATACCATCGACCACACTGACAAAACAAAACATTCTGCATGTGTCCTCATTATCACAGGGTGAAATATTGACTCAGCAGTCAAATGGGCCAATGAGCAACAGGTAAAGGCTTTAGTAAATGTTGTGCTTCTGGCAGTTTCACTTTTTGTTCACTATTCTCATTCATAAGTTACGAAGAGTCCAAAGACCACAGATTAATGTCTGAATTTCTACGAGGATCATTAATCTACACGCCCAACTTTTTGACTTTTTTATAGTGGACTAGTAATGGTCTTTGCAATTAACTTTAGTGACTCGTTTAAAAATTGACAATCCTTCCTAAGAGTAGAATTAGCAGTAATGTGAGACATTGGTGCAACAGTCAGCAGCTAGGAGAAATCAGCCCTTGCCGGGAACTCTGTCCTTAGGGACTGCAAGGTCAGCAGCTGTTGTGTCAGACTAAGCTTACCGAATCTACAACAGGCATTTTTTGAATCTTTACTAGGTACTATATTGTGCTTGCAAGTGAAAAACAGTCGTTGAAACGGTTGGTTAAATAATCGAGCAGCTTTGTGGCATTCGACTGACTCATTGCCACAGGCATGCGTGCACATTGATGTGGTTTCCAAAGTGAGAGTGACTGCCAAAAACCTCAGCACAATTAGGCACATGACCCAGCTCCCCAGACTATATGATCTATTTCATAATCCATCCTGTAGTTTATATGCTACCTTTAATTTAATTAATTTAAGATGTAAGAGTATTAAAAGAGCTTTTTTGTCTTACAGCTGTTTTTGTCATTGTTTTTCTCAAAGAACTGACGGCAGTATGACAGAAATGTTGGAAATTACTCTTGTTATGTAAAAGTATTTGTACTTTTTGGAAGATTTTAAAATCCATAATTTCATAGTTATTAGCAAGGTTGTATACTTTAAACTGCAGTTAAAATTACATCCCTTACTGAATACAAGGGTTTTCATAATTTCAAGATACAGATGGGTGACAACTAAAAGGAAAAACCAACATAAGTGTCTCCGTATCGAGTAAGGACACCACGAGCATCCAGAACAGCTTCGGCTCCTTGCCAAGTCTTTGTAAACTCTGTTGGAGGGATGGACACCATTCCAATATATTCCCTCTCATACACACACACACACACACACACACACACACACACACACACACACACACACACACACAAACCTTATTTAAATAATTTAAGTAATAGCATTGAGATCAAGATTTCTTTTGCAAGAGATGGTCTTCCATGTCTTTCATTTCAACCTGGGTTGAAACCTGGTAACTGTAAAGGTCTTAAATTTGTCCCCAGTCTTTATTCATAAGTTCTGAAATGGATCTGAAAATGAAAAGAAGAAATTTCACGTTGACTTACGGTTTTACTAAGTTGTATACTTTTAACCGCAGGTAAAATTACAGTTATTACTAAATACAAATGTTGTAAACTCTCTACAAGCACTAGAAATGGAAAACTGTACATCTATTTGCACTAATAAATGGCAGTACTTCCATTGGAGTATGAAACTGTAGTATTTCAACCAGTGCATCAGAAACCACATAGCAGAAAACTTAAAGCATGTTACCATGAGGTGAAGCGCCTGTTTCGGTCTGAGGAATCCCGGGTGCTACTCCCAGGAGGAAACTCTCACCAAATATGGTTAATGACGTCACGACACGTGGTACGATTCGTGAGCGATTCCAGACAACTCTATTTCCCGTAACCACGGCGGGGCGTGGTGCACCTATAGCGGAGCTTTAAGAGTTTACAACCTCACAGTCATTCTCAGACTTTGACTTCTAGCTGTATGATTAAGAACGAGAGGATGTACTGAAAGTCGTTTTCAGAGGTTTTTGGGAGATTTGAAAAAAAGCGTGGCGATATTTTCTTCCTTGTCCCCCCTTGAAGACGTACCCGTTTGGACTCTACCACTTTACCGCAATAAGGTGGGCTTACCCAGAGTTTGAATTGACTGACGAGACTCATCCCGAAAGTTAATTCGTGGGACGTGAAGCCTTTATAGTCCCAGCTGGAACCACTCTTCTTTTCACTTAAACATAAAGGATGTATGGAAACTTTGGGAGTCAAGGGAGAGGCAACCCGGGGTACACAGGCAGCGTCTCTGGGTCAGACTCTGTATCCCTGGGAAGCACCAGCACATCAACTACACAACAGGAGCAGGTAAGTGTACTTTCATTAAACTAGGTGACAGGTTATCCTAAGCAGATGGGGTCAAACTGAATGTAAACTGAACAGTAAAAGTAAAATAAAATGTATATATAAAATAATGAACAGTTGTGAATGGCGTAGTGGATAAGACACACGCCTTTGGTGTGAGAAACCTGGATTCGAATCCACTGTGAGACACCACTGTGTCCCTGAGCAAGACACTTAACCCCTTGTTGCTCCAGAGGCGTGCAACCTCTGACATGTATATGTACCTACTGTATATGAGCTAATTGAATAAATGTAAGTTACAATACAGTAGGCTGGTAAAAAATATGTAATGTCGGTATAGTTATACAAGTACTTATACTGTGTGTGTACAATAAAAAGTTACTCTCAACATATATTAATATAATCATAATAACTGTCATCATTTGTTACGTTTTACTTTAATTACTTTGCATTTAGACCTCAGAACCCATGTGTTTTGTTATTGACCACATTTTTGAATTTGGGTCTTCTGTTATAGTATTTTTAGCGTGTCCTCTAATTTTATTCACATTTTCTTCCCAGAAGTTCACAGTGGCTGGCAGCAGTCAGTTCGTACCAAGCCTCAATGCCATCACAACCAACCAGGACCTCCAATGGTTGGTCCAGCCCTCCCTCATGCATCCACCAGGCCCTTCACGATCACCAGTCCCTCCTTACCCAACCCTCTCAGGGGCACGGCCGCTGGTTGCGCCACCTTCCCACTCCCATTTTCTTAGACCAGGGGTCATAAGAGCGGCTGCTAACACAACAGCTCCGACAAGGCGCAGGAATGATGAACATGTAAGAAAGTAGTCCTTAAATAACTGAAATTTCATGAGGATACATAGTGCCAAAACATTGTTTGGAGATTGAAGAGACAATGCTAATTAATTTATTCAGTTTCTTCTGTTTGAAAAGTGAGAGACTGAGAGAGAGTTATAGGAGCTCTCTTGGAA